TTTATAAGTACGCACATACATATTGAGAATCTGTTTGGAAAGTAAACACGTTCGAAAAAATAATTCTATCAAAAATTGTGGGACTTATATCTAAGAAAGAATGATTTTGTAGAAAATGCAACCACGAACGGTACGCAAACTATCTCGCAACAGATGTAATTACAAAAAAAAGTGACTCAAGTTTCGTAGTCTCCGGTAGATGTGCCAGGTAACTCACACGATGGGTCTTTTGACCTTTGTGAGCTTTTATTCCTGTTGGGTTTCTGTCTGCAAACGCAATTCTTATCTTCAGTGTCAATAATTAAGAGTTTGTATGTCTTCTGCTTCAATCGTAATTGTCCACTTGCAGACGCTCAACTGCCCACACGTTTCTTCAGGGATCATCCGAAAAGATTATGTGTATCTCGGTAAAACCGAAGTTATAAATTAAAAATTCAAGTTTTTAGAGATCATTATAAGTAAAAAATTTTTTTTTAAGGATTGAGAGTTGTAGAGTTTCTCAGAAAACTTTCTACGAATATACATAGAACTAAGAGCGTTTTCCTTTAGATATGCATTGTTTCCACATGATTTCGCTTTTCTTTTCTTGGTGGAAAAGATGATATACCTTTTATATATAAATAGTGAAACATTTTTAAAATCTGCTTTTTTTTCTACAGGTTCATTTTAAGACAAACCCCTTTTGAGAGGGATGGAAGGAAGTTTTGCGATGGATGTCCAAAGCAAAAGAATATTCAAACATAACATTTCAATTCGTTTCTCTTAAACTAAAAATTTTTTATTAAACCTTAAAAAGCGCAATTTTTAAACCTTAACCTATTTTTGCCAAGCACTTATATATCTCCAAGAAAAACAAACGAATTCGAACTTAACAGGTCCATTTTAATCTATAGCCGATAAGCAAAAAAAAGAAAAATGTGCTTAATTTTTGTATATTTTTTATAAAAAGAGAAATTAGTATACAAAATATCCATCTTTAGTTTTGCATTTCAATTTACTATCCTTTTTATCCACTATCCATTTAAGTGAGTTATGTACCTACAAACGAAGTTCTATAGTACACAAGATAACATCATTATTGTGGTAATTTTATTACTGTTTTTTGTCCAAAGATTTTGTATATTCATTTGAGTTTTTGCATAAACTCCTTAGTTTAATTAATTTCTATATCAAATAAAAAGTATACGTTATATAGCAGAAAAAAAGTATAATATAATATTATTAATATTATATTATAATATAATAATATAATTAAGAGTATAAATAACAATGGCATCAGTAAGATAATAGTTGGCAAATAATAATACTTTGAGCGTTGAAAATTTCTATAGAAAACTATTTTAATGTTAAAGATTTTAGTATGTATATTTTAGTAAAAAAATTAAAGAAATAAGAAAAATTATCATTTGTTTATGGATTAATAAATATTGTTTAAATCATTAAACAAGAAGTTGGTTTTAATTTTACTAAAAATTTAATAATCCTTGCCACATAATATTGTTCAGGATTTTTTTCAATAATATATTTATATTAATAATATAAATTAATATTTTCAGAATAAAATAAATTCGAAATGTTTTTATATAAGTGAAATGTTCTACATCTCTTCTGCAAATAATAGCTACAAATTTTAATTCGTCTGGGTTAAAAATTAAAGTATAGAAATTGAAGCAGAAGAGTTAGATATCCATAGGCGTATATTATATATCTGCTGAGTTTCAAACACATGAAGAGCCTTCAATGTATGCTTCACGGTGTTATAAATATATTCGTACACTCTCTTTATGTACCCTTTAATCACAGTAGTGTAAAGAATATTATAAAATAATTTATAATAAATTTATTTCCTTCGATATCCAAATTACTTACAAGTTATATTGAACAAATTTTAAGGTCAAATAAGAAATAAAATACAAGGAAGATCTCAAAAATAGGTCAGTTACAAAAAGCCATAAACCATTTCCGAAATACTAAGAAAAATGTCACATAATTTTGGTATGAAAAACTGTAAAGAATTAAGATACTATTAAGATGTGTAAGTAATTATATGGAAAAATGAGAACAAAATGATATACAGTCGCAATTAAATTCATTAAACCCAGAATTTCGGGAACAAAGTGCAGGTTTTTCTCAACAATATTTGCGTATGCAAATATAATTACAAATGTCTTCATGATTACATACAATCAGCGAACGACAAATTCCATAAATTTTTCATATATGTTTACAATAAAAGAAAAATGTTGCGGGCTCTGGATTGTTGTGTGGCAGTTGTTGATGCTTGTATAATTGCAGTTTAATTTTTTTATTACCATTTCCACTGGCTGTGCAGATGTCTGCTGCAAGTTGTTATAGTAGTAATTTCAACATGTCGTCATTATGTGTATATATATACATATGCATATTTTTTTTTTTATTTTTTTTTTTTGACTCTGGAACATGTTTCCAACTCCCGGTTTTATTATTTCTGAATTATTTTTGAACGATGTATAAATTGCGCGGAATGTCTTTGAATTTTTATTTATATGCGCACCATCTAATGGAATTTGCTGTTCGTGTTGTACAACTGTTGCTACTACAGAGCTGTTGATGTTGCACAGCAGCACAGTGACAACAAAGTGTAAAATATCAGTGAACTAAATAAGCTTTAGCTAATTTTATTTATATTTTTTTTTTATATTTTTTTTATATTTTTGTAATGAATGTACAGTGTACACATATGTTTGATAACAAATTTTCATACAAATGTCTTTATATGTTTTCTTATCAGAGCATAGAAAGTTTTGGTTCATTGCAACTAATTAGAAATGTTTACTTAGAGTTACCCACAAAGAAAAATGTTTTTAATTTTTGTACTAACTAATTTTAAGTAAAATCCTTTGACCTATAGAAAACTATTTCGAAATTCAAACAATCTATTTAAGATGTTACGTTAAGTTAGTTTGTTAATTAGTGAGTCTGTCCTTTAAATTTAACTGAGTTCTATAATCTACCGACATTAAAAAAAGAAAAATATACTAAAAATGCTGCTCATTACTTTACATATTGGAAAGGGTGCAAATCAAAAACTATTGGATAGAATAAATCAAAGTTTTCAACAAGAAAGTCTTGATATATTAGCTAATAATATATATAATAATTATGCTTAAGTGTGAAATTAACTGTGAAAAAAAACAATTTTTACGAACAACGAAAAACTAAATTATTTTCCGAACAACCCAGTATATCAGGTTTTTTCATACCAAAAACTATATACATAGATAGAACAGACAAAAAGTCGTTCCAAATTGAACAGAACACTAAGACCATGATGGATCTTTTGAGCTGTATATATTCCTCTCTATTACTTGATTAATTTAATGCTTATATCTGATACGATATATTCAATTTTCCTTTATTGACCCATATATTTCTTGTATTATATTTCTTTCAAATATGGGTTACTTATTCACTTTTAACAGTTATTCACTTGTTCAATAGTAAAAAACATATTAAATTAATTTTTAATGTACATTTTGGCGAAAGAAACTAAATTCTTAATATAAACTACTATTTTTAATAGAAAGATTTTTATCGAATATTAGTGAAAATGCAACAACAAAAATTTTTATTATTATTTATAATTTATTAAATTTTTAGCTGACAATACAGCAGTTTCAAGTATTGCCATTTATCTATAATCAATGAGCTTGAAATTATTTTTTATATTTAATTATTTGTAAACAGTTTTTTGAGGTTGTAAGACCAAGGTTTGAACTCGTGCCCTGCCCAATTTGAAGTTCAGTGTCAATGTTCATTAGTTAACTGACCCAAAGCTGTACTTAAATTGTATATTCTAACTTGGAGTTTTATTGATTTGCTCTGAAAGTTTATTAACAAATTCATTTACTGTGTTGTATAAGAACAAAATCATAAAGCAGCTATAAAAAAATTTAATTAATTACATATTTTTTATTTTAAATTGTCGAGTTTCAAAACTCAAGAGGTATTACTTATTATAACACCTCAGACGAATAACGTTGGATTGATCTAAAACTACTTATTTAATAATTTTATGAGTATTTTAATAAGTTCAGAGGGTGGCAACCAAACTTGGAATATATTCGTTAATAATTGCCACTCGAATATTATCTCTGAGAGTCAACAATGACGATACCCCGAAACTACATATAAACTATCTCATAAACACTCATACACTGAAATTAAATTTCGAATTAAGTAAACATTATTTAGATTAATCTCCAGCTAAATTTTTGCATTAACAAGGGATAGAGTAATGCGAACGGAAGCCATTGTGGCTTTAACTCAATAACGATATTTGAGAATCGAAGGACGAAAAAGAGCCCAACGTTTCGTGGTTTACTTCTGCTAATTCTATACATCAGTGAGGTCACTTGATGGAAGGTGCTCGGGTCTAACGTCAATCAATATATAAATAGATTAATATTAAAATTGTTGTATATATTTTAAAGTGTAAATATGATATGAAAAATAATAATTGGAAATTTGTTGTACAAAACACGATACTCTCATATAACAAATCAGAGACTTGTTTTTTGTAATCGGAAATATATGTCTCATAACATATAACTAAGCCATTGTCATTGTTGTTTGGCAAAAATCTCAATAGAAGCATAGATTTGGATCAGTGAAATAAAGTAATTAAAATTAAGAATAAGAAAAATTTAACAAAAAAATCAAAACTTTATAATTGTCCAAATAACAAAATAAATTAAAAATCGATTAAGATAAGAATTAATTTCTTTTATAATTTATTGAATGACGAACAAGTCATTGACTTCAATGATGCAATATTGACACAATTCAAGTTCGTAATGTTCGCTGTTTATTGAACTTTGCTTCGAAGCCAAAACAATCACATTGGGGAACACGTTTGCAATGTGGAAGAAAAACTGTTGCTAGCATCAACTGTTGCTAAAGCAATGGATGAAACTATTTACTTAATTAATTTTAGAATCATTAGAGAGACTTTAAAGAACTTATACATCATTACTTTCAAGTAATTTACTGTAGATCGCAATATGTTTATCGAATGGCCTATTAAATATAATTAAGTATAATTAAATATTTTACAATATAAACGGTAATTATTTCGAATAAGGCCTAAAAAATAACATATCGAAGTAACAGATTAATAAAGATAAAATTATATAGACTGGTAGGTATTTGTGTTGAAAGCTTTTACAGATTTCGTGTCCCCAGCGTAATTGTTTTCTAGTTATCAATTATAATACAATTATTCAACACTCAACTCTATGAATACTTTATAGTAGTAGTTAGATCATATCAATCTATAAGTTTACCCCATTCCAGTCTCACGTCCCAATACTGTAGACTTAAATGATACCAGTGCAGCTTAGGTATTATATCAAACTTCTCGTACAAATCTGTGATGAAGAGTGTGTGGTAACAAAACAAATACTGAGAAAGTGTGATGCATTAAGACACCAGAGATAAAGCTACATGGGAATTTACTTAAAACCAGACAAAGATTTTATAATTTAAAATTTAGTCAATTTAGAGTTTCGGAAAGGGTTAAAGAATATTTAATAGAGACTAGTAGCATATATAAAATATTATACTCACATTTAACAATATATATGTATTATCCCAATAACTTGTGAGAAGACCTAAGATTACATGATTTTTGACGTAATCGACTTTGCTGCTCGTATATTTTTGAATAGTACTTTTTAACTAATTTAAAAAATAACCATTTTTACATTATTATTTTTTATTTCACATTACTTAAGATCATAAAATGGTTTTCGTCTCATTAAATAGTGTCTAAACTTTATCTTAAATTTTATTCAAGGACGCTCAACTTAAATGATTCCAGTGCCTTGAACTGAGTATAATTAAAGCACACTCTAAATAAAGAGTAATATTCCTTTAAGTGGACTATTCCAAATGATAGTAATATATGTAAATTCAAAATTCTTAAAAAGATTGAACACACAAATAGGCTAAAAATTCATCAACCCATTTAAGGTGAATCCCAAATAAATTACTTTTACTTAGCCGAATGCATATTTAAAATTGTAATAACGTTTTAGACAGGACAATGCTGATAGAGATACCATAAAATCGATCTCTCAGAAACCAATTTCTACACATTCTATAAAATGGATGTTAAAAAGTCTCTATGAATGCCTAAAGCTGAGTAGATTTATTCATCTTAGATACAGTCTATTTAATTCATATGAACTATAGCATTTAGTATGGATCGGTTAAAATAATTGCGGTTAGAGCACAATATACCTAAAACTGAGCAGACTGAATAACTCCAGAACATACTTGTTGACTCATATAATATATAGAACAAATCAAAATCATTTCGCATGCTACCGTTTATTGAAACTCTAATGATCGGTTAAGATAACTATAGTTAGCACAATAACCCATCTAAACCGCAATGTATAATAAATGGCAAAAAATCTAATCCGGGTAAAAGGGTATTGAATGAATCTTATATTGTGAAATTGAATACTTAGAGTTGTTAATGATTGATTTAAATTAGCCAAGGTGTAAAATTGCCTTTAAAATTAACAGAAAAAGTAAAATCAAGCTTTTTTTCTTAACTCTTAGAAAAAATAGAAACTGTAAATATTTTATATATTAGAGAGAGATAATTGTATTGGATTTTAAAAAGTTTTAATATGCATTTCAAAATAATTTTAATTATAGATAGAAGTCATAGATGTTTATATTGCAAGTAAGAAAATTTGGGTATGTTTCAACTGATAAATAACCTCTAAAAGTAACTCTACAGCATATATAATCCATGTTACCCATAACAAAAGGGAAGACTATGTATGTTACGGTGATGCCAGTTATTTACTTTCAACTGATAAATAATCTCTAGAAGTAACTCTCCAGCATATATAATCAGTGTTATCCATGACAAAATAGGATATTTAATCATCCTGACATGCTGATAGAAAGTAATCCATAAATTAACCCACTATTGGACTGATATTTTTATAGAGCATCTCAACCATTGGTTGAGACCTCTTTAATTCAGATGTGGCAATTTGAAAACAGATATTTGTATATCGTTTATTCTTCCTTTTCATAGAGAGCACAAATCAGGATTTAGTTGTTAATTAATTTAAATTTAGTAATTTAATATTACTAAATTGTATATATGTAGTTATTCTGTTTTAAAAATATTAAAACCACAACTTTCGTCTCATAATATATATTATAAATATATTATATATATGTATAGATTTTGTTTCTTATTATCACAAGAAATAGTTACAGAGGAACCCAGCATGCAGCAATAATTAATTTCTTTTTCAGGTATTTAATAATAAAAAAATGTTTGATATAATAACCAAGTTTTAATATAAAAATAAAAGAAAAAATAAAATTAAATCAGAAATATATAATAAAGAACGAAATAATAGAAGAAAAAAAAATGTAAAAAGAAGTGTCACTGACTTACCTCATTGACTTCATCTTCCAGCGCACGTTGGCGTGTCAATTCTCGCAATCTTTCACGACGTTGTTCCGTTAACTGCTCCAAGCGCTTCGATGCTCGATCGACCTCATTGAATAACAAAGCAACTTTTTGTACTCTAATTGCAACATCAATGTTGCTATTGCTGTTATCGTTACTATGGTTGCAATTGCTAACGTTGTTGTTTGTGTAACTATTGTTGTTCTTTGCTATCGTTGATGCTTCCACAACTGATGTTGCTGATGAGACTGATTTGTTGTTGTCTTCTCCTGACAATGCTGAACTTTTTATTTTGGTGTTGACCGAATTGTGACTTATGTGACTATTGTTACTAAAGCTATAAGTGTTGCTAATGATCGATGTTGCTGTCGACAACATCTTGTTAACATTGTTGGTTTTAATCCTATTGCTACTGCAGTTATTTTTCGTGGTATTTTTATTACAACTGTCAATTTGGCTCATATTGATGGATTTGGCTAACTCCTGCAGACGTGCTAACGTCAATGAGCCACATTTTCTCAGATTATGCAATTCGGAATCCATTATGGCACGGCTTAGTGCTCTATGCTGAGCATACAATTGACGTCGTGTTGGTAACCCTTGCAGGTCAGCAGTACGAATATCACTCATAGCTGCGACTAAACGTTGACCAGCTGCTGAACATTGACTCTGAAAAGGTTCCAATTGCAAGAAGAACTCTCTCCATTTTTGTGGATCGTGATGATGAAAACCTCGTAGTTTACCAAACGGTAATTGTGATGGCGCAACACTTGTCGTGACTTCGTCAACGCCAATAAACTTCACCAAATGTTGCTGTTGTGACTGTTCATGTTGCTGGAGTGGCAATTGTTGATGCTTCTGATCCTAAAATGTTGCATTACAGCAATAAAATAAATGAAGAAATAAATAAAATAAAGCGTGTAACTTCAGTTTATTCTTTATTTTGTGATTTTTTTAAAAAAGTAGCTTCTGTTAAAAGTCGGGTTAATTGAGTGTTATGAAGGGGCGTCAATCTTGTGCGCTATTCTCACAATTAATTTTTTATTATTTTTTATTTTGTTCTATTCTGTTATGTATTGTTTTGAGAATAACGACTTTTTGAATAGTAAATTTCGTAATAAAACTTTTGAGAATTTTGAAATCATGTCTAGTTATTTGCAAAGATTTATTGTTTTTTTAAACATAGCTTAAAGTATTTTCATTTTATTATCTTTGTACGTATATAGTTTGGTGGATTTGAATAGAAAATAGAGGATTTACATATATAAAAAACACATTGCTAAAACTATATGATAAAAATTTATATATACCATTATAAAAAGTGTGTTTAGAACAGAAGAGCGAGTACAAGTTAAACAAATGTTTAATCAATTGAATTTTTTTTCATACAACTATTTTGAAAACTGTTAAATAATCTCTATCAGTGATCTGTGGAAACACCTATTGGTTAGATTGTCTGTATAAAATTTTTAGACTCCAAGAAATTTAGGAATTGAACCCTGCCCAACCCTGCACAAAACTGAAATTTGTTGTTTCTTCTTATACTAGACTCACACGAGAGTTTCATTTGGAATTTTAGCTGTCAATTGTTGTTACTTTCAATGAATAATGAAAATTTTTGACACCTAAAATCACAAATGCGCTCTACAAATCACTTATGCCTGTCTTGCTGTATGGTGCAGAAGTTTGGACAACTACAAATAGTGATGAGAAGACGTTAGGAGCATTCGAGAGAAAAATTCTTCCGAAAATCTATAGTCCCTTACCCGTTCGAGACGATTATCGAATTAAATTTAATGATGGGCTGTATGAGCTATACCGTGACATTGACAAAGTTAAGCGCATAAAAATTCAGTGGCTTCCCTGGTTTGGTCATATCGTGCAAATAGAATAATGTGCTCCGCTGAGAAAGATGTTTGATTCGGTACCCGCAGGTGGAAAACGCGGTAGAGTATGTACGCATCTTCGGTGGAAGGACCAGGAGACCAATGTTTTGGGGGCGCTCGATACTATCAACTGGCGACAGCAAGCAACTGATTAGGTTAGCTGGCGGAGGCTACTCGACGCGGCCAAGGACGACTCACGTCTGTAATGGCCAACTAAGTGTGTAAGTAAAATTCAAACAAAACTCTCGTGTGGATAAACCAAATTTCACTTTTTTAATATAAAAATAAAAACAATATAGTTTTTGTATTAATTTTTTTTTTCAATTGTAAAATAAGGACTTTTTTTTATTTTTATATTAGTTTTTGTGAATTAAAACTATTTTTGAAAATGTTTAAAATTCTAAAACTTTCCTAATATGTTTGTAATTCAATCTAACTATTTTCTTCTTTCTTTTATTTTATATATTAAGCATGAAATATCATTCGGGTTCAATTTGTGAAGCCATTAATTAAAAACTTTGTACCTTCTAATTAAGAGTATTGCCATGTTAACTTTAAATTAAATGTTGCCAATTAATGTTAAAATGTTGCGGGCACACATCATAGCTTACCTTCTGGCAAACGGCACTAACTGTTGCTGCAATTAAAGGTGTTGCCGCACTAGTAGCACAGTTTTTTGTTGTTGTTGTTGTTATTGTTGTTGTTGTCGCCGGTACTGAATTGTTCTTGCATAATTGCAGTAAATCCCGTTCGAGACAAACGGCCAGGATTTCACAATACGTAAAGTGACCGCTGAGCAGCTTCAGACTTTGGCAAATTAAGTCGATGACGCAAATATGTTGCGAGCTTTCGATGGCAGCTAAAATGGTAAATGTTTGTGGAGTTTGTTGGTTGGTTGGTTTTGGTATGCCATTTGTTGAGTTTGTTGCATTTGGTACTGTTGATGGGGCTGACTTGGTTAAATGTTGTAGATTACCATTTTCATTTATTTCGAAATGTCTGCAAAGAAAAGAAATGAAATGAAATTAAATATTTTATTTAATTATTTAAATACGGGAATCTAATCAAGTTATAAACATAAAAAAAATTACTTAATTATAGTAAATAATATAATATGTGCAGATCACTAACCTAAAACTTAAATGCATATTAATGATTGTCACACTTACTATGATTTTTTGATTGCAATTACTGATTAAAAGCAGCTTTATTTTTTATAAATGTTTTTATTGCTTTGTTTCGCATATGGAAATATGAATTGAATTTTATTGATTCGATTTAATCATTTGCACAGGCGATACGTAAGCAGCTTAAATGCTTGCCATCTCCCATTTGTATTAATAAAACCGCATTTTGCCACCACGTTTTCGTTGCCATCAACAATTACTGTTAGAGCTGCTATGCTAATAACAACAATAACAACATCTGCGATTTTTTAACTTGACTACTGCACATGCGCTTCTTTAGATCAACCTACACGTTCGTGTTCACATCGCGTGCAGCTTGTATGCTATTTCTTCTTCCTCACTGATTCGAGACACATTGTATAGATACATTTCGCTC